ATTTAAACATGTAAAGAGAAATGTTTTTCTTTGTTCAGTAAGTGCTAAATGACTGCTGAAAAAGCTAAACTGTTAAATCTGAGACCAAGTAGCTAAAAGCTAAAAGAAAAAGAGCTAAAATCTAAGTCAAGCAAATGCCAAAACGAGCAGGAAAATGTTAACAGAAAGCTAAGTAAAAGTAGTAAAAGCTTGATGTAGCAAAATGCTAGATAAAAGTAGCAAAATGCCAAATAAAAGTTGCTAAAAGTAGCTTCTKCAGCAGATCTCACAAACAATATTTCTTAAGGAATTATAAAAKATCTGATTCTGTTTCTATTGAGGAACTTACATTTAAAAAGTTTAACTGATCACTCTTCTCTTAAATGAGCTGAACATTTTGATATCTTAACGGTTAAAATTTTATTTTTGTAAATGACACCTGCAGTGAAGAATAAGAACGTATTAAAAAGCTGAAAATCCACAACAAAACGAAAATATGTACAAGTACGTTATGTTGCTTTTTGTTGCTGCTGTTTTTGTTTTGGTTGGGGGGTGTTAAAAATGGAGCGTAACAAATCAAACCTTCATTTCTCTGAAGCAGCAACAGAAAAATAAACCTTGTTGAGATGAACGATGAAGTCAGAACTGATCTTCAGCTCTATATTTGTCACAAACAAACCCTCAGACTGAGGTGTGCACTTCCTTGGCAGCTCTTTATTTTCCCGGTTATATGACTGTGTTTTATCTTTTATGTCTGCTACTTGAACTCTTGGCATCTCWCWCACACACAMMMMCACACACACACCATTACACAAACTGTCAAACAACAAGTTTTCACAAACATCTCCAAGCTCTTTGTTCATAAAATCATGTTTCTCAGTAAATTCACAGGCAGTTTGTTTCCCAACATAAAATAAGAGCAACATGTGCTCCAGAGCCAATCAAACAGCAGGCGGGCTGTTGATTAACCTGCACAGCTTCATGTTCATCACTTCCAGTCAAACAGGAGGAAACAAAGAGGTGCTCAGACTCTGAGCCCCGCTCTGTGGACTTCAGAGGACAGGAAATCATTCAGGAGCGTTTAATCACTCACTTTGTAATGTTCGGTAAAACAATGAGGGCGCTGTTACCGTATTTCTTGCTATAAGGGAAAGTTTGATCGAGAAATAAACTTCCATAAATAGAATTAATGTCTGAAATCCAGTCAGAGTCTGGAACGTGCTCAAAGTTTTATCTTGGCTTCTGCAGAACTGACAGATTTGTACCTGTGTGTGTTTTAAAACAGAYGCTTTTAAATCCKTTTTCACAAGTGAGTGTTTATAAAGTGGAACTRCAATGATTTGGTCTGAATTCCTCCTTATTCTTACTTCACCAGCTCCTCTTTCATCACTTTTCTGATGCGTCTCAAATCAGTTGGTTTTGTTACTGTTTCTTTAAGACACTTTAAGCCCCGCCCCCCCTCCTGCTTCCAGACCGGTCCACTCCGGCTTGAAAAAGTGGGTTACGTTTTCTTGCTTGCAGAAACATTTTATTTAAAATTCAACAAAACGATGTCAACAACAAAAGAGTTGCTCATCCAGTTCATCAGACCAGAGTCGGACCCAGAACCAGAGTCTGACCCAGAACCAGAAGAGAAGTAAGACAAGGAAACTGTAGTTGGTAAGTCCAGACCTTATAATTCTGTTACAGATTATGATAGTTCAGAAAACATCATGGAAAATAAACAAAACTGAACAGAATTAAATTAAATTAATTAAATTCAACTTTTCTGCCTCCTAGAGACTCCAAGTCCACAATAAAATGTATTCAAAACATTGTAAACAAGTGGATTTTGCAGGATATGTTCCCTTTAAATTAGTGGCCATTTTGAATTGACTTTAAAAGTTAATGTGGAAAACTACTGGAGTAAACTTATCAAACGACACCATTTTTCAGARTAAACTGTTTTATGTTCAGATTAGTTGTGTTTTTCTCAGGAAAGGTGACCTGTGCACTGGAAGTTCTCTGGAACAGATTCTTGGATCACAGAATTTTTTTTTTTTTTACAAGCATCAGTGCACAAGCAGCTCATRGTTTAAAGTTTAAAAAAAAAGGTCACGTGAAAGTTTTTCTTTTCTCTGGAAGTCACAGTGTTGTGACGATTAAAAATCAAAGTTGCAGTAGCAGTGCTGTAASACTTGTTTATTTTAACATTAAAACATAATTATCTTCTGTTTCCTCTAAGGAAATCGGTGCTCTGATATTTGCTGCCTTGACCATAAAAGTTAATTTGTGTTGATTTTTATCAGCTGTTTCCATCAGGCCTGAGACTGTGGGATTATTTATACTGGGGGCTTCCTGCCATTCAGAACTGGTGCTGGTGAAAGGGTTGGCTCAGAAACCAGTTCACAGCTGACAGCTTTATTATTTCATGCAAGCGTTCATCAACAACTTGTGTCTTCCTCCTCAAAACTATTTTGGAAACTTCTTAGGAAGCAGATATTCAAAAATAGCACGTCTTTGTTGTCTTCTTGGAATCGATGTAATCCTATTTGAGCTTCAGAGTTTTTTTTTCAGTTATAATTCAGTTTTATTATTTATTTACGAGATTAGATGAATCTCTGCTGCAGTKGAACCTGGTTTCAACACATGAAAATCACTTGAATCAGTTAAACGTTTTGCATCAGGGGCGGACCCAAAGAGGGCACCCGCTTGGCCACCCCAGGTGCCCCCCCCCCCAAATAACTGACATATATGGAAGTATCTTGGATTATGTATTTGCATTTAAATTTAGTTAATAATTGTTCTCTGATATTTCTGCACTATTTAAAATCTCATCTGTTTAAAAATGTCTGATCTAAAATCATTTGTAAAAATTAGCATTAGCATTAGCAGTTAGCTCAAGTTGGTATTAGCATCGGCATGTGGTCATTCTTAGCTMCTCCACAACAGTTTTCATCTGTAAGTCTTAAAATGACTGAATGATAGCTTTTTTTGAAGTTAGCTGTGGCGGCCATATTGAAATTTGAATTAGCATTTTTTGGTTGTTTTGTACTTAAATATCAAAAGTAAATTTCTGACATAAAATGTACTTAAGTATTAATAGTAAAAGTGAGTAAAAATGAATCATTAGATTTTACAAAGTGACATTTATTGGGAGGTGAGCTTTCCAAAAAAACTTTTTTAAAATGCGTGTTGTGATGGATTGTATACAAAATAATTTAGTGTCTGAATGGTATATATTTATACTTTTCATCTAACAATTAAATTCACTCTATCCAGGAGGCACAATTTATCAGGCTGGTGTTTTTTTAATAATACCAAGCTGGAATGAAAAAGGAGAAACTTCTTAACTTTTTAAAAATGTCCTTAGTAGAAGTACTTCTRCACTGATTTTCAGCCTTGTGCTTAACAACATCTGAATAATAAGTTGGRACAAGCATTCAGCATGTTTCTTTTGGATCATTCTTRGCTCTGWTCACATAATATTCCAGCTAAATTTRTCCTAAAACAGATTAATTRAARCCATTTGAAATTATTTGTGGTGGCCATSTTGTATTTTTAAATTCAGTGTTTCTCTTTWTTTGTATGTGCCCCCCGGCCACCCCTGTGCCACCCTGTACATAAAAAAGTCTAGCACCGCCCCTGTTTAACATTCCTTGCAGGAATCCTTATCACCCATTGACTTTTGAGCCAGAATTTTAATCCAAACTTGTTTTACACTGAGAAGAGAGGAAGGTTCAGTTGTTTTCATCCAACCTTGTAACGTTATCTCAAGCTCTTCTGTGAAATCTCTTGGAGTTTGTGTTATGGAAGACTCTCGACTACTAACACAACACATTTTAGCTCAGTGAATTAAAAAACTGCATTTTTTTTTTGTTTTGTA